TGAGCTTAGGGTGACTGGAGGACGCTAGTTTGTGTCCTCCCGTTACCCTAAGGAGAACTATGGGGAAAAACATGGACCCCATAGTTCTCCTTTAATAATGCGATGCAGTGCATTGCGGCCACAAGCTGTAATGGAACACAATACATGTGGTGTGAATCAGCCCTGAAAGTATACAAAATCTCCAGGCACCCTAAACTAAACTGTCATAGATTTTAAGGGGGACCCCACGCAAAAACATGGGTTTCCCTCTTCCTATCGAAGTTCCTCTTTCAAGTCAAGATTTCCTCCAAAATACATAAAAGTTCCACTTTTACATCAAGAGCCCCCTTCACATCAGTCTTCATTCCCCCCTTCATATCACAGTCCCACTACCACAACATGTTGAGGCACCCCTGAGGAGGCATGGGGACATACCAGTGTGCTACAGCACCATAGTTCAGCAAGGTTGTTTTAGATTCTGAACTGTGTTTACGTTGCATTTCTTTTTTCAGATAATTTGTTTTTTTTGTGATAAAAATGTAGTCAGAACAGTATAACAAATTCTGACTGGTTACCATTGTTTAATGCACTTTGCAGACAGGATACATTTTAGGGTATCCTCACACCTGAGGAGTCTGTTACCGCACACACGTAAACGTGATATTGCTGAGCCCAGATTTACAAAGCTAACCTTGTACTTTGCGCTTTTTATCCAGGGGAGAACTGAAATGGTTTTTCGATAGAAAAATGGAGTAATAGCAAAAGTGCTTGTCCATTATCAAATAGGATGCTTAAGATTGAATCTCTCTGGGGATTTTAAAGTTGGCATAAATCATGTGATTAAAAACAGATAAGCTTGCTGAACATTTGATTGAGGAGATTGTTGCCTCTTGTGGAGAGATGAATTTGGAAAAAATGATTACTTACAACAAGCATACCTAGAGGAGTTCGGGGAAAATGTAATTCTGTCTTATAGAATCAATGCAGTAAAGAGCTCCTATCAATACAATGCATTAGTGTTTGACATGGCCTTGGCAACTGCATAATGGCAAAGGGTAATGGATGACGTTCTACAAAGCATTCACATGCTCGGTGCTCTCCAGATAATATTGATACAAATATGATAAAGGCAGATACCAGCCATATGATGTTTCAACTGAGCAACACCTGGAAATCTGACCAAATAGGACAGCACATCTTCAGAAGACTTTGTTCAAGCCCATAATACAGAACAACAGTCTACTTCATAAGTGGAAAACAGTGTTTGCAGGCACTGCCCAAACAAAGAGCATAGACCACCTGATAGACCTAAGTCTAGTTAGACTGTACAGTGGCCGTAACATTTACCAAGAATTAGGTAGTATGAAGCCTTACCTAAACAGTCTATTCCATCCTGCCTCAACCAGTGTGCCTTCCGCCTTCCTTGGGGGTGCCTTGAAGTTTTTGCACAGCGTCATGCCTTCCCATGATGCAGACAGGCTTCTGATGTAAAGGGGGCTCTTGATGTGAATAGGGAACTTCTGATGTGAAGGGTGGGCTCCAAATGTAAAGGGGGGGGGGTTCTGATGTGAAGGGAAACCCATTTTTTGTGCGTCTTTCCATGGGGTCCCCTGTCAAAATCCATACCCGCCCCCTATCTGGGAAAAGGATCTGATAAGGATCTTGGTGGGGGCACATTTTTTACATGTTAGACTAGGGTGCCTCATGATTATGCATACTTTTAAAAGGGTGCTGTGACTGAAAAAAGGTTGAGAACTGCTTGTCTATTCACATTTAGCAGGGCCAGATTTACATCTGAGGAGCATGAAGAATCCAGCCACATCCGCTTTGCTGTTAAAACTATTTTTCTTCTTAATCACCATTTATTTATATTATGTGCAAAACATCATAAACTTATGAAACAAAGTGCTATACAGACAACATTAACATGCAATGTGCAAACATAATTAACCCAGTCTATAAGCTGTCAGTGTGTGATTGAATGCATCAAAGGTGTCTTCTTTCCTTTATTGTCACCAGTACATATACTGTATCTTGAAAATTCTTCACCTCTTGAATAATGACTCCCCCCTTACTTGGACAGGGACTCACCATAAGACATTGACCTCCACAATTAAATGTCATGTTTTAGAAAGCTTTAGAGTAGTAATAATTCCTCCATTGCAGAGATCCATACTGTCATAAACCCAGTAAAGGGGGAGCGGGGTGGAATGTAGAGTGAGTGGAGATGAGGTGGCCAGGGATGAATGGGTAAATCAAAAGCAGATTTAACAGATTGTAAGATCTATGGCCAACACAAGAATCAGATGTCTTCATGAAGGACCCAGCCATGAATTTCATCTACATACCGTACTCTAAAAGTCTAGGCCTCTGTACATAAGTCTTACTTATGTAACTTATAGAGACTCTGTCATGGGGAAACACAACAAACTGCTGCAGGTATGAAGTCAAGCACCTAGAGTTGGCTGCTCATACATTCAGTAGGCTCCCAAATCCTCCTACTGCAGCCCAATACCGGGCCATTGTGACAGTGACACTTCCCGTTAGTGTTGGAGTTTACTGCTCTTCTATGCCTCTATCCATTCCTAATGGCAAATCACTGACATTGGTCACATCCTCCCTTTTCCCAAACAGCCCCCCTCTTACCTGAATCTTGGGTTGTTTTTCTCTCAGCGTTCAGGCATCCTTTGAAAATGGCATGGCAGTGCATGGTTTTGCCCACGCAGCTGCATCATTCATTCACAGACCCTGCAAATGGAGAGACTATAAATCCCGTCTGCCACTGCATCAAAGGGCCTTGTAGGTCTCAATGGAGTACAAGTGTGGTGACGTCACTGCACTTGTTGTCCATTGACGCTTCCTCCAGTCCGTTAGGGGAAAATCCATATGGATAGGGGCTGGGAGGAAGAGTGCAGGAGCCAGAGCTTTCTAGCAGCCATCAACTGATCACAGTTAAAATGCTTTGCAGGCTCAAATGCAAAAAAAATAAATGAATGCAACTTTTTTCTTTTATTGTGGAGGTTTACTAAGGTGGACTATGCCCTAAACAACAAGGAATACTGAAAAAGTAAACACTGAATTTTACATGCAGAAAACCAGTTATTTGTGCAGCAGGCTGGATATTTCCAGGGACAAATCTTCAAAACCTGGACTTTCCCAGACATCAAATGCCTGTAGCACTGTAAGAACTCATTCACACTGCCAATCTCGAACCTGCATTTCTAAACGAATATAAATACATGGAATTGATTTTCAATGGTATCATTCAGACTTTGCATTTACTTGTGTTTGTTTTAGGGATGCACCGATACTAGTATTGGAATTGGTGCCGATACCGAGTATTTGGGCGAGTACTCGTACTCGCCCAAATGCTCCGATACCGGAACTTCCAGTCAGAGGGAGATCTCCATACCTAGGGAGCATGGAGGCAGCTTCCTTTCCAATCAGGAAGCCAGGCGATGGGTAGTGACCCGCCTCACGGCTTCCTGATTAGCTAGGAAGCCGGCTTCAGGTGCCAGAGCCAGGCTGCCTAGGGACAAGCTGCCTAGGGACGGCTTCAGGTGCCAGAGCCAGGCTGCCTAGGGACTCTGAAGCTGGTGTTCTTTAGCTAGAACACCAGCTCCACTGGCAATCCGGAAGCCGGGCAATGGGTCATGGGTCAGTCGCCGCCCGACTTTCTGATAATCGGGGCACAATGCCCCGGTACTCAGTATCGGCAAGTACCGTAAAAAAAAAAATATTGGTACCTGTACTCGATACTGAAAAGCCGGTATCGGTGCATCCCCAGTTTGTTTATGCATTTAAGTTTAGCTGCGTTTAGAGAAAATAGAATTCTGTGCATCCAGGATCCAATTAGAAACTCTAACCATGGCTAAATGCATGTAAACGCATCTAAGGCTATATTCACACAGGGCTTGTACAGTATGTGCATTCTGGGATTCCTGCAGCAACAATGGCAATCTCAGGTGTCCCGTTCAAATGGGGCTGCTGTACCCATTGAAGTTAATGACAGGGTGACAGCGGGCGCATCTGTTAGCAGCAGTCTGCATGTAATGAAACATGGAACATTTGGATGACTGTCTCTGGACACAGGACAGATGTGTGCGGGGACAATCATCTATCCCAAACCGCATGTGATCATAACGTGTATGAACACAACACAGTAGACTGCCGCAGAGAGATGCAGCTGCTGTCACTGTATCATTAAATTCAATGGGTACAGCGGGCACATCTAAGGCTGGGCACACACCTTACAACCATCACAAGACTTTTGTCTTGCGATGGTTGTAAGGTACTTAAAAAAACGTACGATCTGGCTATCTTGCATAGGGAGATCGTACTTGCGATGATCGCAAGCCACGCCCCCTGAGGGTCGGGCTTCCGATGACCGCAATGCCGAACAGGCAGTGTGCGCTTGCGCACACCGGCCCGTACGGCTGTTATCGTACGGACATGCCACAAACCCGCCGAACATCGTACGATGCTCGGCAGGTTTTCGAACATGTCCGTAAGTTTAAAGTCGTGCGACCTTACAGTAGTAGAGGTCGCACGGCTTCCACACACCTTACGATAATCGTACGATCGCGGGATTTCCCGCAATTATCGTACGATTATCGTAAGGTGTGTGGGGACCTTCAAGGGGACACCTGGGATCCCTGTCGTAGGAATCCTCTTTCTTGCTGCAGGAATTGCAGAATGTACATACAAGCCCCTTGTTAATGCAGCTTCCAGCAGGGATATCTTAATGCAGCAAAACGTGATCTGGGAAGCAAAGAAGTGGCTTATACTTTCCTGATAACTTCCCGAGTTTAGAAAAGCTGAACACAGGAGTGCCAGTGTGAATGAGGCCCAAAGGGACAGTTTCCAGAAACAGGTGATCAACAATCGTATATACTTGTACTGGCCATTGTGGTGATTTGTATATAGCAGCTAAAATACAACTCCGCTGCCATTCATTCCATAGACCCTGCAGCATGTGATAATAAGGAAGTGTCTGAAAGAGCCCCTCCCCCATCCAGTGTGAGAGCTGCTAGCAGAGCGTGCATGTGAGCCATGGGTGACTATACAGAGGTACAGTATACACAGTGTGTGTCATGCATAATGAGCTACTATCTCTTACGCTCCCTCCTATTGTGTGTTTCTAACTCCTTGCACTTCCAGTATGAAATCCTTCACCCGTTTATCATTTATTTACTGCAGAATTAGACAGTAGCTGGGGCACATTAAAGCTCAAAATGCAGCTTTTTGAATTGCACAGCGTTTTTAATATCTCTGAACGCAGCTCTATGCACATGCACAATGGCATTTAGATTTGTAATCTAGAGCAGTGGTTCTCAACCTGTGTAACCTCAGCACCCACATTTGTCCTTGGTCATTAAGTCGTGTCTCAAGTTGCATCGCAATGGAACGCATGGCATTCCAGTACCGCACGTTCTGAAGCAGGCAATAGAACTGTGGGTGGGAGATGCGTTTGGGGTGCCATTCAAATGAATGGCAATGCAATGCACCTCTCACATCAGTGTGGTAGGTGCGATTGCATGGTACAGTGCGTTAATTACATGGAACTGTGTGATTAGCGCACTGCAGTAGTGTGAATGGGCCCTCAAAAACACTGATAGACACACACAACCACGGACACAATCGCACACACTCACAGACATTCTCACACACACATACGCACTCCCTCCCCCTCCATTTTTAATTTTTTTTTTTTTATTCGACCAGTCACTCTATCTTACGAGAAATAAAGTGGATCCTCAGCCTGGGGTCCAGTGTGAGCTGCTGTGCTGTGATGGAGCTCCTTCCATATGTGCATCCACCTGCACACCCTGTAGAGGTGCCAGGAGCCAGATTGTGACATCACAGCACAGCAGCTCCCACTGAACCCCAGGCTGAGTATCCACTTCAGTTTAGGCACCTCTACAGGGCACGCAAGGGAGCTGTAAGCTATACACTTATGGATGGAGCTCCCTCGCGGCCATAGCCCCATCCAACCCCACCCCAAGCTGACACTTGGTATCGGGCAGCATAGTTTGAATGGCTGCTTGGTGCGAGAACTGACAGTGCTGCGCTAGCAGGGATGTCCAAACTCCGGCCCTCCAGCTGTGGTGGAACTACAAATCCCATGAGCCATTGCAAGATTCTCACAGCCACAGACATGACTCCCTGAGGGAGATGCATCATGGGATTTGTAATTTCACAACAGCTGGAGGGCCGGAGTTTGGACATCCGTGCGCTAGGGGGAGGCTGAGGAGCTTCTCACCTAGAAAAGTGGAAGGCACGCGGGGACCTACTTAACACGGGGTCGCTACCCACTTTTGGTTTATGACCCACCAGTTGAGAACCAAGGATCTAGAGCATTGTTCGGGGACATATAAAATGCTGTAATCATAGTTACATAGTTACATAGTATTTGAGGTTGAATAAAGACATTAGTCCATCAAGTCCAACCTATTAGGATCTCATGCGTTTGTAGAGAAGTGTACTGCTGCAATTTACACATATTTGTATGGGTGTGACATAGATTAATTCTAGTGGCTAGAATATATTAATACTCTAGCCACTAGAATGAATTTATAAATGCTGTGTGCACATAAATGCATACTTTACCTGCCATTACATGCTGGTGCTGGCAGCAAGATCCATCATAGATATGACAATTTTTTTAATCCTGTGTACATGAGGCCTTAGGGGTGCATTCATGTTATGTGCATTGGACAGCACCACTGATTGCAGTTCTAGCGCATAGATAAGGCAATTTGCCTACTGTATAAGGCTGGCCATACACTTCTCTATTTTTTTGTTCAACCAGCAAGCTGAAAAAAAAAAAAAGAGCAGATTCCTTCATCAATACCTAGGAGTATGTCGATAGAGGAATGTCACTGTCTGAACTGATACCCGAATAGAGTCCGCAAAGATTTTCCGTCCGAAAGGGTGCCGACAGCAGCACACACTCTGCGAATTTTGACCGGTTCCACAAAAACCGTCCAAAATTTGCTGCATTGGGCTGCGCTGAAATAAGGTAGAACAGGTTACAATTTTATGCAGCGCAGCACTGAGAATGCCGCACACCACATTGCAATGCACTGCACTGCATAGAAATGAATGAAATGGCATTTTGTCACATTTCAATAACGTTTTAGAAAGAAGGAAAAGGTTATCCATGCTATGTGTTGTAACAACATATCACACTGCTCGTACAAAACACACACCAGACGCCATTTGTTATACACAGCATAAGGCCCCATTCGCACTGTAGTAACATGCACCAGATTGCACAAAAGAATGTGCACTTGTTTGTAACGCAGAGCACCACAGAGCACAGTAGTACATCACTGTTGTGGTGCGTTGTAATACATTTGCAATAGCAAGATGTGTTGGACGTGCCATGAAGAATTTATGGCACCGCAGTGCACAAAGACGCAAAACACGTGCTAAAGTGCACATAACCCAGGACAACAGTGTGAATGGGGCCTTATGTGTGCCCACTAGGGTGGATGGGCCCTAAAATGAATATGTGCCACCTAGACTAGGTATAATAAATGATAGGCACCACAATGAATGAATGATTTACTTTCACTGTGCTCTCAGATGGTATTTCCGGGTATGGGGAACACATGGCATTCTGCTTCCCACAGGCTGCTTCTTTGCTTCTAGGGATGGCAGAGAGTGTATAGTCCTCTGCAGGTTCGAAGGTTGTGAAAGCTGAAACTTGTACTGGCATTTTTAGAGGACTAGAGAGGTGAGGTAGTGTGGGAAATTAGAGATTCCATGTGGAGGCCAGCACTTAAGCTAACTCTTACTTTGTTGTAGGAGTAGATATTGGTTAAAAACTCCTGACAAGTGTCCCATTGGGGACATTTTCTAGGAAGTGAGATATCTTCCCAAAATAAGGGAAATCGCTTCTTAGACAGTTGTCCTCACTGAAAGATTTCCCCTCTATTTCTTTTCCAGTTACTATTCAAAATGCCTTAAAATTGCTTTAGATACACTTTACAGAAAATGTGCATGTTTAAACAAAATGCACTTAATTCTTTTTGCCCTCCTGCCCTCCCCTTCCATGGCCTGGTAGATCCCCCTCCACAAATTAATGCCTACCTCGATCCAATGACCATGGCCTCCTGTGTTTATTAGTAATACAAGAATCAATGCGCTAGGTGTGAAAACTAAATAACTAAATAATGAATTCTTTTTATTTTATTTATATTTGTCGAGACCGAGCGCAACTCACTCCTGTGTTTATTGACACCCTGTACTGCAAGTCCTATATCTCCTGGCTGCGCCTGCACAGTAGAGCCCCATAGAAGTTTTTGGAACTCATCTCCTAGTGAAGAGAAGGAAGTAGAGAAACCCCATAGAAGTCTATGGAGCTCTGCAGTGCAGGGGTGGTCCAAAGAGAAAGGCCATGGACAGGCTGCGGGCATCTGACTAAGGTAAGTAATGTATACATCTGTGGAGGGTGGAATCTGTTGGGTTACAGGAGGGGGGCAAAATGGATAAGTGCACTATGCTTTTGAAAAGTGCACTTATCTTTTAACTTTCATCATGGGTCTTTTTTGTCCCATATATACTGTAATGGGTTAAGAGTGATTGATGCCTTGGCATACACTTTTACATTAGCCGCTACAATAAGTATATTTTGTATTTTTCAGGAGAAGATTAAAATACTATTTGGCAAGAAATCTCTGGATGCTATTCTGTCCATTCCTAAAGATCACGGCAATGTGGTAAATGGAGTTATTCTCACACATGGTGCTGGCGGAGACATGAACTTTGCTCACTTGGTTTCTATGGCGCGGTACTTGGCATCTCATGGATTGCTCTGTCTACGATTTACGTGCAAAGGACTCAATCTAGTTTACAGAACCAAAGCTTACAATGCAGTGGTGGTATGTAAATTATTAACATTAGTAGTAGTTTCAGCTTTTGTTGCACACATTCCCTGTAATTTAGCATAATTGCATCATTTAGGATAAAATACATCAAATGGAGTTCCATAAATCAATTCATCTGTCCATATGATCCTATAGCTGGCCATACACCTTATGATATTTCTCATTCAGATCCTTTTTTTTATGATGGAATGAAACATGTGAATACCTTCTGTTTTAAGAAAGCTTTACTGTTCTAAGATGGAATATACAGTATGTGAGCTTTTGATTTGTTAGTTATACCTATTCCATCTTTTTTTTCTTTTAGGTGTACATGAAATCTTTGGATGATTATAACATTGGTGACATTTTCCTTGCAGGTCAGTTGTCTTACTGGATGCTGACATGAGATCAAACAATTTACTGTATCATTAGTTGGAATTATAACAGCTGATCAACGCACTTATGGTGCAGATTTTATGGAAATGCAAACAGTGTAAGTAAATTTGATGCCAATTATTTGTATATAAAAAGAGGATTGAATTCCACACAGAAACACACACAACCTGTCATGGCAAGCTGCCATTGTTCACCAATATTTTAAAGTCTATCTGTGGGGAAAAAAACTGCATGAGTTAACTGCTTATGAATGTCTAATGGTATTGTGTAAAGTACTTTTTACTTACCTGATCTCCACTCCCCCGGCAGATGGTACTCACCTCTGTACCCTATGCTCTGGTTCTTGGACTGTCCCTTGGCCTCCTCACATACACCGAGTGGCCAGATTATTATGAACACACCATCAGTACTTCGTTGGGCCACGAGATGACTCCACGAGATGACTTTGTTGGGCCGCCTCGTGACTCCACGAGATGTTGAAAGGTGATGTGAGGAATCTGACACTGCACCGTTGCCCTTCTGTTGTCTTGTACCAGTCTTGCCACTCTCCGTTCTGCCCTAGCATTGACTAGTCACTGACGGCCACAATTCGCACGTTCAGACCCAGATTTTCGGCTGACAGTCCAGTCTTTAAACACTTTAACAATGAGCCCCTCTTGAACATTTAACAAATTCTGCTGTTTCGCTGATACTCGCTCCATGGCTCGCACCAACAATCATCCCACGTTCAAAGGCTGTTAAATCGCATTGTTTACCCATATCTTCAGAAAAGATCTGCTTCCCTATTTCTAATGGTCTGGCCCTCTAGCAACTTCAGCGCAAAATTATAGCTAATTATAGCTAATTTGCCTACTAACATCAGGTGGTCATAATAAACTGGCCACTCAGTGTATATAGTAAAACTATGGCTCCTGCATTGGAAGTGATGATGTCAGCAGGCCTCCGACCGCCAAAGCAGAAGGGGAAAGAGGCTGCGAGTGCTGGACCTGCAACCTTCTGGAAAGGGATCAGGTAAGTAAAAGTCCTTTACATAACTCTCCTACACATAAACAAGTAGTTAATGTGACACTAAACTCAGGAGTGAAATCTTAAAAATACATTCAAATACTTCAACTATTAACAAAAATGGATCATATTTGTGTATCACTCAGCTGTTTATCCTCAAATCATCTCTGAATTAGTGCTGACACTGCCCTTCCTTCTGGAGGGGGGCAACTTTTTTCCCCTATAGCTCCTGTGTGCGTTGTAAAGTAGCTCCAAGCTCGCGCCCGTGATGGACTAAAATCTCATGTTTAATTTACTAATTTATATTGAGATTGTAGTCCATCACAGGAGTGAGCATGGAGCGGTGACTACTTTACAACACACACAGGGACCATGGCAAACAAAAGTAGCCAGACTCATTCTTGGGTGTCTTTCAGGTAAACAGGCAGGTCTGGTTTAATGTGGGAGAAGTAAAGAGAGAAATTAATCACATGCCAATGAACTACTAACACTCCTCTTTGCTGAATCTCTTGTTTTCCTCCAGTGCCCCCTTCTCTCTAATTCTTCCCTCATCCTTTTCTAGCACTTAATAAATGTGCTTCTTTTTTTCTGTTTCCTGTGCCTTGTCCAGCACCTACCAATGTTTTGGCAATGAGTTGCCCACATATCACTACAATTGTCAGTGTGTTGCCCATGTTGGTTACCTGTATTTTGTCACAATACATGCGAGTCTTGCCAACATATTGTCACAACTGCCTTTGTGTTGACTGTTTATTGCCACATATGCCTATGTCTTATCACTGCCTAGTATTTACAGTGTGTGAGCACATGAACTGTTTGCGTTGGGGCATATTACCACAAGCTTACCCCCCTTCACAATCCCAGTCTCATGGTTGTTCCACAGCATCTCAGGTACGTTGAAATGTCTCAGCATATAGTAATTATTTCAGTAAAATAGAGAGAATCTTATGGCAGTAATTACTGATTACCGGCTCAGTCCTCCTCAGTCTGTCATTCCATTTACTGTTTCTTTTCATCTAAAAGGATTTTGGCCCCATACAATATTTTGCCCAAGGGCCCTCACAGACTTGAAAATGGGCTCTAAATATGCATTGACTCAACAGTGACTGTATACATTGATGAAAGTGTGTTTTATTAATGACTGTATGAAAGTGAAAAGTAACATATTTTGTACATGATGGTATTACAGTTTTATCATTTTAATGGTGGTAACTTAGCTGGGCATTTGCTGTTAATCAGTGGGAGAAATAGTTTGCTGCTGCAGGCTTTAATGACTTTGCCTAGTAACATAACTGTTGACAATTTCATGAAGAGTTGTTCCCATTTTTGCACAGGCCGATCTATGGGGTCCCGTGTTGCTGCTCATGTGATGAGAGGAGCTTGTGAAGAAGGTGATGGTGCAATCCAAGGCCTGATTTGCCTCTCATATCCCTTACACTCTCCTAATGCAAAAGGCATGCTCCGAGATGAAGATATCTTGCATATAACAAAGCCGATGCTGTTCATCTCTGGTTCAGTAGATGAGATGTGTGATAGGGTAAACATAAGCTTAATATATACAGTTTCTAGAAATAGTATTCACACCCTTGAGGTTTTCATGTTATGGAATATTGAATCACAATGAAATTATTATTTTTTTCTTCACAACTGATCAACAGAAATAGACTTGCGCCATGCAGAGGTGAAAAGAGATCTCTGCAAAGTGATTCCATTAATTACAATATGCTGAAAGTGACGCTATACTGAGGTCACAGCACCTGATCTACACACTTGTTTGTGTCAGTTTCTCAGAATGTACTTTACCAAGTGAAATCATTAGATTAGCATAACAGCCAGACAACATTAAAGTGACACTAAACTCCAGAGTTGAATCTTAAACCCTTCATGACTGAGATAGTTTTTAGTTTCTGTTCCTAAATGACTGACACGCTTTTTATATTTTTGCTGTGTGATTCTTCCACAGCAGCAAGTTTTGATTATTATTATTATTATTTTTAGAACTTTTTAAAATAATAATTATAGTATAAAAATATATTTATATATAAAAGTTTTATTTTTAGAATTTTTTGTACACTTTATTTTTTTTTTACACTTTGTAAAAAAAATAAGTGTAAATTTTTTTTTTTTTTGTCAGTTTATATCAAGCAGTCACTATGACTGCATGATAAATTAGCTTTTTTTAATTTTTAGTTATTATTAGGCTGCTCCAAACTTAGGAACAGCTATTAGTAATCTTAGAGACTGATCCTGACAGCATGTCAGAATCAGATCTCACTTAGCCCTCGTTCACACCTGACCTTTTTGTAGCGCGTTCTACGCACGACGAACGCTCTACAAAACGGTCAAAAATATACATTGCATTGTAGTCAATGGTCTCGTTCCCACCTTGCCGTATTTCCGCCCGTCCCTAACGCCCTACAAAACGGCCCACTCTTAAAAAGGTCCAGGTACTACTTTGGCCCGTTTTGTAGGGCGTTTTCCATTGGGATACAGCCAAGTAGCCTTCGGAATCGCGGTAAAAAACCCACGCGCATATGCAATACGCCTAGGTGTGAACGAGGGCTCTTTGATCGTTCCTAGACGATCAAAACTGATACATTTCACTCAAGAGATACATTTGTATCTTGTGCTTGAAATGTATCATTTAACATACAGCTGTCAAAACGAATAGCAGAGAGGTGAGTGACTGCTACCTCTCTGCTATCTTCAGCTGTCAGTTACAGGTTCACTGTTTAGCGAACCCGTATCTGAATGTAAAGGCTTCATTCTTTCATTAATGAAAAAAAGAAGCTTTTACAAAAGCTTAACTATTTCATTAATGAATGCCTCAATACTGAGGCATTCATTAATGACTGGTAACCGCTGAGAATCATCTGTTACCAGCATTACAAAGACTGATATAACTCGTCACGTACAGTGTACGGGGCCAGTCATATAGCCACTTTGTGACGGGACGTACACTGTACGTCTCCCGTCACGAAGGGGTTAAAGATACATTCAAGTACCTTAACTATTAACAAAAATGTATCTTATTTGTGTATCACTCGGCTGTAGATCCTCAAATCATCTCTCAATTGGTGCTGACACTGTCCTTCCTTCTGGAGGGTGGCTACTTGTGTTCCCCCATGCCCCCTGTGTGAGTTGTAAAGTAGCCACCGCTCCAAGCTCACTTCTGTGATGGACTACAATCTCACATCTAGTTTACTAATTTGTATTGAGATTTTAGTCCATCCCGTGTGTTCTGGCCAGAATCGGGCCGGAACGTACTGCATCTGGTGTGATCTTTAGCTTTGAGGTATATTCCAAAGTAATCTACTGTAAATTGCTGTGTCACTTGTTACATCACACCTTGCAGAATGTACTTTTAATTACTGTTTCTTGCTGTAGGCTTTAATGATGAAGACCATTAGCAAAATGAAAGCTCCTGTGCAGATCCATTGGGTTGAAAATGCCAATCATGGAATGTCTACTAAAGGAAAGACAATGGATGATGTTATGACAGAAATAAATGAACACACGTTATCCTGGATTCAAGACACATTGAAGTTGTAAAGATCAGTATCACTTTTACACAGCAGAGAGACAAACCACATCAATTTTGGTGGCTGCAGCAATCACTAAGAACAGTGGCTACAAAAGGATGGAGTCTTCAGTTATGGGGAAAAGACTTAACCCCATAGTTCTCCTTTAAGGTGGCCATACACTAGTAGGTTTTTGGTTACTGTCAGGAACCCTGGTTCGATTACAGCGTGAATACCCCATCAAGCGTAATCAAATGTACATTTCAGAAAACGGTCGTTAGTCATACTAGCCAACCATTTTTGGATGAATGGCAGAAATAATTTCCTTTTGCGTATGTGCTGTGTTTTTGACAAACAAAAACCGCACCGATTCGTCGATTTTCAATCTGTCAGAAAAAAAATGTCCAACCTAACCGAACTAAAATTTTCAATCACAATATCAAAAACAAAAATCGGTCATATACCAACAATTGTTCGATATTCGTTCAAAAGACCGTTCGTGTATGATTTCGGAATGGAAATCGCATAATGTATGGACACCTTTACTCTCTAGTAATTTATCAGTGTGTGTTAGAAACAACATTCTGAAACTGCAGCAGACATTAGCAGTTGTTGAACATCTATTTAGGGGGAATGCCCAGATATCTGTTTAACTACTACTGTATGGCCCAGTGGGGCTGTAAATAGTACTGCAGCATTGTTCCTTATAAAAAAGACATTCCAAATTCCTGTTACGTTATAAAAACCACCAGAGCCAATAAAACCGTTGCCTTGAACTATGATCTTTAGTTAGAGCATTACTGAACCACGCCTTTGGGGACTTACCATAGAGTGATAAAATTATATGGTACAGTTAATAACTGCAGTTGCATGTTAAGGGAAAGCTTCCAAGAGACAAATATTTGAGTTGCCATTGCTGACCTCCTTTTTAAACTTCTATTTGCCTGGCTGTCATGGCAATTTTCTGGCGTCAGTATTCTTGGAGACACTGACCGAGAACCAATTTGCAGCAGGTAGTTAGAATTTCCTGCTCTGTGTACTTGTTACAGATCAGTGACTCAAAAGCAACTGACAGGAAGGCAACTAGCATTTTTAGCAGCCCAAATATGTATTCTATTCTTTAAAGAGGAACACTATTCACCTACCCTCTAGCGATGTGATGTCCGAGAGCTCCCTCGCTGGTGCCAGTCTTCCTCTGGGTGTGGCATCTTTGGCTATCTTGACTGGCTGTGCCGGGAGGATATAACTCCAGTGCATGTGTAGTTCTTTCATCCTGGCATGTGCCGGAATTGTATAGTGAGCTGTGCATGTGCGGCTCAGTGTACATTGTCATTTAGATTGCAAACAGGAAGGTAAGGATCCTTTATTGCAGAAGAGACACAGTATGGTCTAAAAAGCCTGCCTGCTCGTAAATGTATAGGGGATGGTTGCACTTTAAAGAAGAACTCTGGGCAAAATTTTTATTGACCTTTGCAGTGGGGCTACCCCCGCACTGCAAGGGTTAACTGCTCGTTTTGGTCTACGAAGGAAAATTACAAAGTTATACTCACCTGACCATCCAAGCCAGCCGGCTGTGACTGCACTTCCTCCTGCCTGTCTCCTCCTATGCTGCAGCAATGGTAATGTGGGGCAGGAGGGGACGTGGTGGGTCATTGAAGTGAATGGCACCGTAGCCACGCCCTCTGGCCGCAATGCGATCGGCTGCACGGGATCGCAAGGCACATTATTATTTATCGCGGTCCGGTGCGATAAAAATAGTGCTTGCGGCATTTTGATCGCACCGGACCGTTGCAAGCACTATTTTGATCGCACCGGACCGCGATAAATAATAATGTGCCTTGTGATCCCGTGCGGCCCATCGCATTGCGGCCAGAGGGCTTGGCTACGGTGCCATTCACTTCAATGGCCCACCACGTCCCCTACTGCCCCACAAAAAAGTGAGCCGGCTGCAATGCATCTGGTGTGAACGGGCCCTTAGACCACTGTAGCAGAGGAGGAGTGAGGCTGGTGAGGTTTCAGGTCAGTACAACTTTTGTTATTTTCCTCCTTTAGACCAAAACAAGCGGTTAACCCTTGCCTGTGCAGGGGTAGCTCCACTGCAAGTGTTAATAAAAATGTTGCCGTCATTCTTCTTTAAGCAGTTAGGTTGACATACCCTTCCAGATTAGCATGTGTCGAGCAGTGAATGTTTACTATTTTTTCCCTGTTTAATCCCTGTTTACTCTTAATAGTCAGAACTAATTGAAGTTTCATTTTGTTTTACTTTTTTTCAATGTTGAAATTATTTTTAAACTAATAAAAATACTAAGTAAACTATATGTAGTTATTTTATCTATTCTTATAGCCATTAGGAAATCCTTTCATTTTTAATTGAAAAACACAAAGTTACAAACATCTGCAGTCTTCTTATTTATTTATTATTGGTATTTATATAGCGCCGACAACTTACGCAGCACTTTACACAGTGCACATTCACATCAGTCCCCGCCCTCAAGGAGCTTACAATCTAAAGTCACTATCTCACATGCATACAGGGCCAATGTAAACAAGAGCCAATTAACCTACCAGCATGTCTTTGGAGTGTGGGAGGAAACCGGAGTACCCGGAGGAAACCTACGCAAGCACAGGGAGAACATGCAAACTCCTTGTATATAGTGACCTGGCCAGGAATCCAACACTGGGAATCCCAGTGCTACAAGGCAGAAGCGCTAACCACTACGCCACTGTGCTGCCCTGTTATTGCTTATACCTGATATTCCCAACATTTCTCACTTCCAGCAGATGTGTCCGGTTCACTCTCCATACTACATGCAAAAACAGTGGAAGATGGCAAAGCAGTATGCAGCTACCAAAAGCAACTAAATGTGTAGACTAGGGAGAGGCGGCCATAGATCTCCCATCCTTGAACGGGTTCCATAAGTATTATGGACTAGTAATCCTTTTTGAACAGTGACAGTGGCGCATACATGGTAATTTTATCCTCTCCTCAGCACCTGTACCTGTAGAGAGATTTTAACAGGCGCAACTGCTTCTGCAACTTACTGTGTGTAAAAACTGACCAAACTCAAACAAATTAACCCCCATGCAAATCAATTGGGGGGTGGGAGTCTGAGCAGATGCTTCCTTCTGCCTACACCAGAATAAGAGGATCATTTTCCCATGACGATCTTCCCAAACACCTTGAAAGACTTTCCCTAGGGACAGTTACTTACACCTATAATAAGAGACATGGGGCATTTTTTTGGATGCAGTGTGTAGGGTTGCCACCTGTCCAGGATTCACCCGGACAGTCCGGGTTTTGAATGCTGTGTCCGGGTTTCATGGCAGCAGAAACCCGGACACAAGATGTCAGGCAGAGAGGGGCAACCAAAATTAAGATAGGGGCTACTGGCCTCCCACTGAAAATAGTCTCAACTGTGATATTTACATATGAAAGGGTGGCGCTATTTACATATGTACGTGCCACGGCTCATTCTCCCCAAAAAAATGTCCGTGGGTCGCTAGAGTGTTCGGGTTCGCTTGAAGAAAAAGTGGCAACCCTAGCAATGTGCCTGGGTGCAAGATCATCAGTTGGGCCCCCGTAAGCCTGCAACAAGGGAAAGCTGTCAAAGTTGGGTAAAACTAAAATGCAATAGCAGGCCCAGGTACTAGTTCACAAATTTAAATAACACCGAAAATAAGACAATCTGTGTGTGTTATGTACTGACAGTAAATAATTTACTGCTTGCAGGGAACAAAGCAGTTGACACGTGTTCCGAATCTATTTCCTACTGAGACTCTGTCAGATGCATCTTCTAACATCTGTTCTCAAGAGTATGGCCTAACAATCTCTTCATTAACTGCAAATAGGAGAATGGAAAAGAAGTCGATTTTCTGATTTACAAGAAATCCGGCAGCGAGTAATGAATGGACCTTATGGATACAACTCTGCAAAACAACTTTTGTTTAACTGCTACAACTAAACCTAAATCAGGGCCAAGTTAGAAATAGAAGTTGTGAATTGCATTACCGGAAACCAAAGCACTGTGCTGGGAATATTTTTATGTTAATCCATGAAATGATCAGAACTAAGTATAAATTATTACCCTAGTAATGAAATATTCACGTTTCAGTCATTGGTGTTTGTTGGTCAGAAGAATCGGTCACTGACCTATATTACCTTTCTGAGATTCCAGCAGTAAGATATCTGCTCTCTAGCCTCTGAATCAAGCAGGTAGGTGTGAAGGGAGGTATTTAGCTATTTTATAAGGTACCAGGCTTCTGAGATTCATTGAAGCCAGTGGGTCATCATAAACGCCAAGTAACTCGTTTTTTCAGAAGAATGTCAGCCCCCAAAGTTCTCTCATGACAGGTTTACTTTGAAGTTTCCCAGGGAGCTCTACAAGGTATCTTACCATATAAGCAGAAACCAGTAGGTGACTGTGGTGCATGGCTACTTGCAGCATAGGGGAGTTAAAGTGACATTAACACATTTTACATATATCTACTGCCAGCAAGCAGAAAATATATGCAAAAACATTTTCAAAAATAAAAAGTTACCAAATAGGTAAAAACTTACCTCTGTCTCCGGCGCTCACTCCCAGCTGTAAAATACAGCTTCTCAATTGGCCGTGCAAGGGGGTGTGTGCGGGCGCATGCGCAATGAAGGTCATCAGCAGGGAGAAGAGATTGACTCATTGTATGTGAATGCACGCAGCTGTGAGCTAGCATGCTGGACAGACACCATGGGACGGGAAGAGACAGTAGTCAACGCTGGATCATGGATCGGCACCAGCACTGGAGGCATTGCTGAAAACTACTAGAAAGAAGATGATCAGATCAAGAGGCATCACTTAAGGCAAATCCTTAAAGCAGCATGGGTGGGGAGGGATGTAAATTGAATGTCTCACATTAAATTTACTGGGCCAAGCTTTAGTATCTTGCTAGTTGGGCCCCGCTGGCTCTCGAAATACCTGAACAATGCCTGCATCCAATCAGATTGTTCAGGTATTTTGACAGCCAGCGGGGCTGACTAGCAAGATACTGAAGCTTGGCCCAGCTGTTTCAGAGATAAGGAAATCGGCGGTAAATTAAATCAGTTTATTCACAAGGTAATATAGCCCCAGCTCAGTGTCCCCCTATGTCATTGGTTGCTAGGAGAAAGGCAGCCCAGCTTGTGTCCTAGTAACCAATGATGCTGTATGTGGAAGCTGCCAGGAGCCTAGCAACCAATTACGTGCGTGGCTGAGCATCATTGGTTGCTAGGATGCTCTAGGCCACACAGAGTCATTGGTTCCTAGGATGCTGGTTGAGATCTCAGCTTGTACCCTAGCAAAGATGAGACAGAGTCATTACAGATCACTCAAGGAGTAATTTGTGCTGATTCTGGTGCATCTGTGCAACAGGTTACTGACAAGTACATGAATCTGTCTCAAGGTGGCCATACACTCTACAACCATCGCAAGACTTTAGTCTTGCGATGGTTGCAAAGGGATTAAAAAAACGTACGATCTGCCTATCTTGGACAGGCAGATCGCACTTTCGATCATCGCAAGCCCGCCCCCCTGAGGGGCGGGCTTCCGATGACCGCAATACTGAACGGGCAGTTTGCGCGTGCGCACACCGGCCCGTTCAGCATTTATCTTCCTAGCACCGTTCTAACCAGCCGAGAATCGTACGATTCCCGGCTGGTTTTCGAACATGCTGGTTCGACAGAAGACGTGCGACCGTACAGTAGAAACGGTCGCACGTCTCCGTTCACACTGCTCGATTATCGTACGAAAACCCGATCGCGTACGATAATCGTGCAGTGTATGGGCACCTTTACTCAGTGACATTTCATTCCATTGCTGCAGTGTAGGAGATAGGCAGGACGGCACTCTGTCAAAGCTGGCCTGCTCAGAAGATCAGGTGAGTATAACTTTCTTATTTTCAGCTCTAGACCAAAACGAGCTAACCCTTGCAGTGCTGGGGGGTAGCCCCACTGCAAGGGTTAATAATAATTTTCCCTGGAGTTCTGCTCTAACAACTAACAAAGCCATGGCTTCCTTGTCCATCCCCAGCATATAGTTTCTCTACTTCTAGAGATACATTTTCACCCAAATTTCATCCAGCACCGATAAACAGACGGCTCCATCTCCGTTTTGATACGCGATAATCGCGATTTTTGACAAACGATATTGGCGGACTGGCTCTGCAGTACTGTAATGTATGTCACCCGCAGCACATGTGTTTACAATACATGGGCGGAGCCATTGTGACCAGGAAGTTTGGGGTCACGGAGAGAGTTCTTCCGGGGCACGTTGAGCTGTGCGGCAGCGGCACGCTGTTTTAGGAATGGGGTGCTGTAATGTGGACACCGAACCCTGGAACCGCCTGCATATCCCGCGCCCGGCCATCCAGTGTCAGGTGACCGTGCCGCTGGGGGACGACACAGGTGAGTGTGCACTGTGCACGGAGCTCGGCTCACCATAGCACAGCGCCATCTCTGGCCGCTTCATATAACCTGCAGTGTGCCTATACTAGACACCTCAAGGCTACATGTACAGGAAAGTTCTCTATGCATCTGTGACGTATAAACAGACTTTATGATTCTAAGATGACGTTCTCCTGCGTTTAGGGTACATCACACCAGCAACTGCGTCATGTGCGCAGGATCGAGCAGCATCACACTTTTTTCTTTCTTTTTATTGTAGAACTTTATTGAAATGTCACAAGTGACATTTCATTCAGGTTTATGTGCTCACCTCGATAGAATGCGGTTGTACCATGTCTCACTGTGGTGTGCTTAAAAAAAGTACCGCATGCCGTACTTTTAGGGCCAGTTCACACCATTTGCAGTGTGTCCCAGAGCAGTAGCTGCTGGAACGCACTGTAATCGCACACTAAACTCCCCCTTTGTTCTGGGGAGCGAGGGGGCTTGGCAGTGCATTGAAGTCAATGGCACTGCAGCCACGCCCACCCACCCAAGGTGCAATTGGACATGTTGCAAAACATTGCCTGCGTTTCGGTCCAATGCAACACAAAAAAATGCATCATTTTTTTTGCATTCTCACTGGACTCAGGTAATAGATTGCCACATGTCCAATCGCACTGTGGGAGGCGGTGCTGCGGTGCCATTGACTTCAATGCACTGCTACGTCCCCTCCCTCCCTAGGACAAAGGAGGGAGTTTAGTGTGTGATTACAGTGCGTTTCAGCAGTTACTGCTGTGGAACGCACCGCAATTGGTGTGAACTGGCCCTTAAATACACACCACCTGAATGTGGCGGTGTGAACTAGGCCCATAAATGACAAGGCGAATTGACTTTTCTTGCTTTCGGAATGCACTGGCTGTTTACTTCAGCGCAGCTCGAACGAAGATGGTGTGAACTGGCTCTAAGTTCGACTTGTCTTTACATGTGTTGAAGTGCATTTATGTGTGTTCACATGTGTTTTGCCACATTTACAGCCTTTTCACACTGCCACACATGAAAATAATCACCACAACACGCTGAAAATGTATGTGCATTAGCATGCATTTTCAGGCATCTAGTATTGTGATTTCATGTGCATTGGCATGTGTTTTTAATGTTTGTTGAGTGTTTCCTAGTCCATCAATTGTTGGTTGGGGTTCCCCCTCAAGATTAATAGCAGGCCCTATAGAAAGGGCTTGGTATGGAGTTTCAGGGAGACACTGTGTCCTGCTGTCAATCAGTAGCAGAGCAGACCTGATGGGGAACTAGTCCCTCAGCATCTCAATCAGGCTCGGTCCACTGTCAGCGTCATTGGTGCTAAGATGTGCTATGAAGCCGACCAGTGACTCATCCCTGGCTGCATTCAGCTGCCACCGATCACAGCCGAATGTAGACCAGCGTGGGGCAATTCCGGCCCTCCAGTTGTCCCACGAGGCATTGTAAGACAGTTACAGGCCTGACTCGCAACCAAAAGTGTTTCATGAATTATCTGATCTCCTCCTCTTCCAGCTTCTTTTAAGTAAAAAGAAACCCTGAGCACAGACCCCTTGCCGGGTATAGAGGGGATAGTCGTAGGAATAGTAACTGTCGTGTTGTTGTGAATGTCAGTGGCTGGAGACAAGTACCATCATTCACAAAAAGCCAACAGTTAGTACTCCACTTTCTACTTCCTCTTTAGCAAGCGCCGGGTCCGGGCTCTGTATTTCTTGCTACTTCTGGCAGAGGAGATCAGACAAGTTCTGTCTGGCTGCTTTCAGAAATGGGCAGGAGGTTGTGCGGTCTCTGTATGCTCTGCCCGTCATGCCCCCTCTCCTTTGCACTCTCAGAGCTGCCATCTTCATATAGCAGTGGAGGGTGTGAGCCAATGCTACTCGGTAACCCCTGCACAGTGTGATGTGCCCTG